TAGGCTAGATTCAACATCTCGTCTTTTAGCCTTGTTTCGCAAGTCTAGGCTCTCGTCGGTGATGCCTGTAATATCAAGATGCCGAAATGAAACAGTGACCCCCCGTGTCAACCATTTTGAAGGAACAGTCATAAAGAACTTCTTTGAACCGCGAGCAATAATAAACTAAACTTGCAATCATAAACGCTACCGTGCACTGTATACGTCTAACACGTCGCGTCACCTTTGAAGTGCAACAGCTGAACAAATTACGTATTCGGAATCCAGTCTGCTATCAAAAACGTGGTCACATGGGTGGAGATGCTTACAAGACAAGATGATGGCTGCACCAAGGAATCCCACAACCTGCTCCAAAACACGTGACATGCGTCACACTTTTGCTCTGCAGCTCGCATTGCCTTTCCCCAGTTTTCATTGCTTCATGCTAAGAAACGCTTCCTCAGTTGTGGGGCGTCCACACGCCCACTGCGCAGGCGCATTCCTCTCTCCTTTTCTCTCCTCTCCTACGCTCCCCTATTTCTCTCCTGAGTCGATGGCGAAGACGAGGAAATGCATCTGCAGTATCCGCTGATCAGTGTTCTTGCGGTGTTCCACGTTTATGTGAGAAGAGAACGTCTGCTTAACTTAGCACGGGATCACGTTAGGTGTTCCTGGCATGTGTGTTGAAAGACCGGCTACTTAGCAGTGCTATAGTCATTGACACCTGAAGCGTTCAAGGCAGCGGTCACCGGCGTCAACCGATAGTCACCGGCAGCGTTGATCAGGTAGAGCTACTGAAATGCGACGTAGACGAGTTTCTGTGGGTGCCGCTACCATCTACCCACTGCTACGCATCCACACACCAGGTCCCTTTTGTCGGGATATGACCTCATAATTTTCAGTGGCACTTGACAGAAGCTGGAAGAATCATACGTGTAGAGTTATGTTTTATATAATAATATAGACGTGCATAACTAACCGTGCAAGTTTAATTGACATTATACTGAGTCTCAGTGCTGAGCAGTATCGAATACACATTGATATTCAATATTTCTTTTTTGTATCTGAGTCTTACATACAACAAAATGAAACAGGGATGCATATAATTTGATTTTTTATTTATTCAGCCGATTCATTGTGCTACGCCGTAGAGTTTTATAAGTAAAACACTAAAAAAACTCTGGCGCTAGTGTCTATGGGAGCTGCAACGCATAGCGCTTCAGCGAGCATGAAAATTATGGGTATGACAGGGATTCGCCTAGTCATAATACTTTATTTTCGTTCTGGGTTCGCGTGGCTTGAAGCTGCTTTCTCAAGAAACAGCAATCAACAATTGTTTGGCAGTTGCACTTCACCGCCTTCGCCTTTTAGGCTGACTACTTCAAATCGGGTCACGAAATGATATACGGCTTGTTCTTTCCTTCGAAACAAAATCAAAACAGCAATAAAAAGCCACACGTGCATTCGCCACATGCTGGCAGAAGGACTAAGAAAATTCATGTCATACCCTTCATTCCCATAGTCGCTGACCGATCGCAGTATCAGTGTCCCCTATAGGTAATTTTAAGAAGCTCTATGCGCTACACAAACTACAGTTATGCTATACTAACACGGCTAGTCCTCTGCCCTTTCTAGGTGATGGTGCCGAATCAGTTCACGTGTCTGTATTGCTCGTTCTAGACATAGTCTTGGGAGTACACGGGGGAGCTTGCACTTTTGACATAAATCAATCGTCAACGCAGTGCTTGTGATACCACTGATTTGGTCTACACAGTAAAAAATTCGGCAGATCCCGCATACCTGGAAATTGACGTTATTCGAAGCATGTAGAGGAAAGTTGACCCTTTTGCAGTTTTCTATTGAGCGCCACCTCTTAAGATAACGGTATATATATGTACAAACTTTCCACTAAGAAACTAATGAAGATTTGCAGATGGTTATATAACAAGTTGTTTGCCCTTGCGCAACGATGTCAACTGGAACATGTGTATTAGAACATCAGAAGCTAATATGAAGCGCCGATGCTCGCTTGAATGCTGGCCCTGGACACTGCTACATAAATCAGCTTCAGCGCATGGCAACTAACCACAATTGACGTTAACCCGACGTGATGGCTGTATCAAAGAAGTACATATGTAATGTTATTAAAGTTGGGTAGGCAGCACTGCAACCACTATTCACGTTTCACGAAGGTAAGCGCCTATTTGAAAAGTAGTTCCGTTAACTGGCGTAGCTCTGTGGTAAAATGCTTCATTGCCAAGCAAAATGCTTGAGTTCGATTCCAGTATGAACCCTGATTGACATGTGGGGTTTAACGCATTAAAACCACCATATGATTATGAGACACGCCATAGTGGAAGGCTCTGAAAATTTTGACCAGCTGGGGTTCTCTAATGTGCACCCAAATCTGAGCAAACAGGCCTACAGCATTTTCGCTTCCATCGAAAATGCAGCCGCTGCCGCTGGGATTCAAATCCCGCGACCTGCGGGTCTGCAGCCGAGTACCTTAGCCACTAGACCACCATGGTAGAGGAGCTGGGACTGTGGCATTTATTCTTTGCATTCGTCTGGTCGATGCTATAGATGTCGGGTATTTCTTAACTCTCGCACGTTAAAATTGCCCGTGTGTGTTCTCGTCGTTTCTGGGTAGATACAAAGTGTCAATCACCTGTCGCACATACCCGCATACCAGCGGCACCTACCCGCCTGTGGGTGTGTGCGGCTGTCTGGCGGAAAGTGACGGCGTACGTGACGGGATTGTGACATTTTTATTGTCTCGACATGAGGATCATATTTGTCAAACCATTTTACCTTCCCATGCTAATTTTCGTTCACGCCAAGTCACGGTGGTCAAAACTAGAGCACTTAATCATAAGCAGTGATAGATTAGATAGATAGATAGATAGATAGATAGATAGATAGATAGATAGATAGATAGATAGATAGATAGATAGATAGATAGATAGATACGCTCAAAGTCGCCGAAGTTCGCTAAGAAATGCTTCGCATTTAATAGCTTCTAACTGCGCCGACATGTCACACTTTTTTAGAGGACTGAAAGCCCCCAATTTCAACCCGAAAGCTTGTACGCCGCTTCAGTTTTGATTCTCGAAGGCTTGAGAAATTTTGGCGACATGTTACGTCCCGGTGATGTCCTTAGGTGACATGGTTGTAGGGTGATAATTTGTTAAATGAGTCGTGGGCTTTCTGACTGTGTTTTTCTGTTACATTTGTCATCTAAGGGCTTCATTAAATGAATGTAAGCGACCACCATCAAAAAGTTTTAATGCCCCTTCACGCATCGAACAAATGGTGGACGATGAATAGCGGAAACACTATGGTTCAAGAAAAGAAACACGAGACTTCAAGCATAAGAATATGTGGCACATAATTTTTCGTCTCTACTCTGTGCTAGGGTCATGAGAATGACATCTGTTCTAACTTCATTCAAACAAATACGTGAGTTTCAGGTATTAGAACTCCATTCTCGGACATAAGACGTGAGTTTAGTTTTCACTGATTTATGACCACAAAAAATCAAAATTATCTTTCGCCTGATAAAGTACTGGCATTGCCAACACACTACCGTAATTCGTAAAAGACCTGCGATGCGGTAATTACCCTACGATCGGCAACACTGAAAGGTGCTCGAGTGAAGAAGTTTGTTGCAGCCATTCATTCCCGTTAGAACTTTCACGGCCGCGTGCTAACAGTTTCATAGCATTCGTGCGTAAGAAAGACGGTAGTGAATTTAACTGTGATGTGTCTGCAAACAATTTCGGGGACAGAGTATTGACGGACTGTCTTCTGTGCACATTATTTTCCAAAGTTAGCAGTAATGAGCATAACATAAATCAAGGTGGTCGATGACGCTATTTTATTTACTTATTGACGCAGTGACCGCATAGCCACGATCTTCATGTACTTAAGAGGGTACTCAGAAGACATGAATGAAGGATTGCACAAAGTACGTCACTGCTTATATTATGCCTGGAGTCAGATGTGGCTGGTATAGCTGCTATATACTCAGTAAGATGGAGCTCGGTGATGGAGGCTGCTTATGGATAAACAGCTTAGTCTGCACTTAATGTAGCGATTTCCTTTTGGCTCTGCTATTACAGCAAAAGCTGTTACGAGATCAAATCGCCTTAGGCAGGCTTGATGCCACGAATGCAATCGAGTGAATACGACTTATTAAGCGTTTTAAAACAGCGAAAAGCAACCAGTCGTCGCACAATGCAAATAGAGTCACTAGTGGGTCGTCCAATACTCCAACCGATTACAAAATTTTGCTGCATTTACGATGGAGGCGGAAATGCTGTAGGCGCGTGTGCTCAGGTTTTGTGCACGTTAAAGAACCAAGGTGGTCAAAACTTCCGGAGCCCTCCACTACAGCATCTCTCATATTCATATGGTGGTTTTGGAACGTTAACTTTCACATCTCAAATCATGTTCTCTCCACGTATTAACTTCGGCACATACCAACTTCAGGCATAATTTCGCATAGTCGTCGGCCACTTTATAAATCATTGGCACAAAATTTTTTGCAAGTGTTTACAGCGGATATCACACTACTCAGAAGATTGACGAAAAATAGCATAGCGTATGCCGGCCTACTACCCAAAATTTATTATCAATGCCATAGTGGGTTTCAAGCAAGTGTGCTTGCAGCAGCTCCCCAAGGAGTCTTTAGAAAAGAATCGGAAAGGCCGTTCTTCTATCAGACGTTACTAGATAACGTTGCTTCTATCTTTCGATTAGACTGCGCTGTGCCTTCCGAGCAGACCTGGCGTTTTTTTAGCCATTAGCAGCCGTTACACTAACGCAACTATTTGTACATGTCAGCTAAACTCGCCTGCCACACCTCCAAAATCCTTTCTTTCTAGTTCGGGCCACGTGTGGCGTTTTTTTTCACTCAAAATTACCAGATTACGTAACGTTTGAGTATTATCTGCATATTACAATTTTGACAATACCATGTAAGGTGAGAAAACATATGGCACACAATGAAAGCCAAAATAAACATTGAACTAAATATAAGACAATATTTTGTTTATTGACGCCTCATTTTCAAAACAGAGCTCATTAATCTTATTTCGGGAACGTCTTGGCAGTTTGGGTAATACGTTCGTTGTATTCTTCTACGTCGAGTGACGTTCTGGAATTGTTCCCAACATTCACTACTATTAAAATGTCCTTTTTTGATATGCGAATTCTTTATTCGAAGGTCGTAGGCCGCTATCAGTTGATCTGAAAAAAAAAAAGCACAGCGAGAGAGTCGGCTGAGTGAAATAGGGCTAAGCTGTGCGGGCAATTATCTTTTGCTTTCTGTCGTACGCTTTGTGAAAGTGAAACAGTCTGCCAGGAGAAAGTGCCTATCTCCACAGCGATTTATTTTTCCAGACTGATAATCAGGTCGTAACAAGTAGCGCAACAAGCCGACCACATAATGTTCACTATTATAAAAAAGTCAGCTGTAGGATGCTGGTGGTATCGCCTAATTTTCAATGCTTTCACTGTTTCGGAAAAAAAAGATTGGGTATTAGGTTTTTTGATGGCTATGTATCGCGATACAATATAAGATACTCAGGCAAGAAATCTTGAATACAGAGACACAGGATACTACCGCAAAATGTATTCGATCCGGTAATTTTTCAATTGTATCGTAAGATACCGCAATACATTCGCAAATTTGTTGTTACAGACAAACAGTTTGAGCCGCCACGGTGGTGTAGTGGCTAAGGCACTCGGCTGCTGACCCGCTGGTCGCGGAATCAAACCTCGGCCGTGTCGAGCGCATTTTCAAAAGAGTCCAAAATAGTTTTTGCCCATGTGCTCAGACTTAGGCGCACGCTAAAGAACCTCAAGTGTCTTACGGAGTCCTCCACTGCAGCGTCTCTCATATCCATATGGCAATTTTGAGTCATTTAACAACAGCAATTATTACCGACCTAATGTATACAGTATCGAACTGTGTTCCACCGCCTGTTTTAACAGCGAAAAATTTTATTAGATCAAAACTCTGGTCACGCGCCGTTGTCCGCTACTACACCGCACGAAATTAGAAAAAAAAATACTAGCGCTATAGACACAGTGGGGCTAGAACCCGGGTCCGCTGGGTGCCAGCCCAGTATTCTACAACTAAACTATGCTGGTGCTTGAGATTTGTCGGCAAACTTGCCTTAGGCAAACTCGACAGCGGGAAAGCAATGGCGTTAATACGACTTATAAAGCGTTTGAAAACAGCAAAAAAAAACAACCAGTCGTCGCAGAATTTGAATAGCTTACCGGCTGGGTCTTCCAATGCTCCAAACAATTACAAAATTTTGTTCTTGTTCCGCTATTACCTGTGGCGCATAACCACCTCTGCCATAATTAGTCATCGTCGTCATCCACTGCACGAACAATTGGCGCAAAATTCCTTTGTGTTTAGAGAATATGGCGCTTCTCAGAAGAATGATGAAAAATAACGTAGCGAATGTTGGCATGCTGTCCAAAAAAGTTTGTTATTAATGCTGTAGTGTGTATCAAGCAAGTGTGCTTGCAGTAGTTACCCAATGAGTGTTTCGAAAAGGGTCTGAAAGGCCGATCTTCTAGTTTTAGCTATGACTGCGCTGCACCTTCCAGGCAGGCCTGGCATTTTTTGCTGACGCCTTTAGCGCCAGCGCCTAATTTCCGAGAGGGACCGCACCACCGCCACCCCCGCGCAATAATTTGCGGCGTGCTGCCGTTTGTATTATTTTTACCCAAGCGGGGAATCTGGGCATAAAATACATCACGTAACCTTCTTTTCTGCAGTTTCAAAAATTCTGAGAGCCACATTTGTGGTGTTTCTCGTTTTCGTGTAAGCCTATACTGTCTGCATAAGCGCCCTGAAACAGCTTAGGAAGGAAGGTACACATTCGATCATGTTGTTCTCTTTAGGCATTTCTCGCTGCTTTGGCACCGTTCGGGACACCTGAACAGCAATTCGCGTGACATGATTAAGGCAAATACTCTGAAATTGTCCATATACGAGAGATATCAATTGAAAATTGTTTTCTATTCTGCTTTGCCATGCATTGGCCACCCACCAGTCCCGTTTTTTCTCGCGTCTCACAGGAATATTATGCGTGATAAACTTGTGATTTTGTTGCGGATTGTGTTTTTGGTGGCGCAAGTGGAAAGGAGAAGAGCATAGCCGAGAAGTTTGTAATTATGGTAAGCTCAACGCTTATCGCTCAAAATGCACACATGATTTATGAAGACGCAAATGTTGAAGGATTTGTGGGGTTTAACGTGCCAAAACCACCATATGATTATGAAAGACGCCGTAGTGGAGAAGACGCAACTGTCGAAGAGCCTGCAAGAATTGTAGTAAAGAGGGTGTAGTGCAGTCTAACTGAAAATGAAACCGAAAAAAAAAGGCTCCGAATAATTCACCAATGGCCGAATTCTTCACAGCGGAGAGAACGCCGCTCTCCATAACAAAGATCAGCCTGCTTCCCCAGAATAAAAAAAGGGCCCCCCGCCAAACCAAAACACTTCTTGCTATGGTCCTGGGGTCAAGTCAAGAGACGAACACACTCATTCACGCTCTTCGTGGTCATTTTATGAAAGTATTCAAAACTGAAAGGAAAAAATGAAATACGCTGCAGTAGACCTCAGCTATATTTAGTGGTCACAGAGCTCTAAAAACGCAGGTACGTAACACGTGTGCTTTCGAGCAGTCGACGCTAGCTACAGCGCATATTCGTGCATTGGTCTCCTGTCGATTCTTCTATCTATCTCTAACTCTCTACTTTTTCAGTATGATCATAAAATACGTTACGATAACTTTAGCGCGCATGTTTCGTGCTTTCGCGCAGATTTCTTTAATTAATTAATTTATAAGGATATAACAAATGTCAGTAGCATAGCGATATGCTGCTAAAAATAGAATATTAGGAAAAAACTGGCCAATATAATGTTGCAAACGTAAGAACAAATATTGTAATAGTAAAGATTAAAAGCCACTTTTACACACTAGCCACCCTTAGGCTACAGTGATAACAGGAGCAAAACACTACATACATCCTTTAGAAGTTATGGTCCAGACCACGGCACATGTGTTGTTTTTACTTTGATAATGCAGTACTTCCCTGGCCTTGTTACGTCCATCTGTGAAAACGAAAAAAAAAACATTCCGCTGTATATTGAACACGTGACGTGATGTCTTGTTTTTAGCTGAATTACTGTTGTTTATTTTTAATTGTGATGAATTCATTCAGTATGTTTCACCGAAAGAAGTTTTTGTACGAGAAGTTGAAAGATGACAATGCATGTTATATTTTTCACTGTAGGTTACTTGAACACCTCACGTACTGCTACTAAATAAGAAATCAAAAGAAAGAGTAAGTCATTATTAGAAAAAACAATAAATTGATAGAAAAGTAGGTTCACTAGTTTAAGTGCCGTATCCAAAATACAAAGAAGTAAAATGATGTGCAACATTTGTTACCACCAGTATTGTGGAATGGGCAACTCCATTCCATTACAAGTTCATTCCGAAGATTTACAACTTGCCCTGTACCATTAATTTCAATTCCTTCGAATTAAAAAAAAAACTCCATCCATTCCCACTCGGGGAATGCTCGGGTAGCTTAATTCCATTTCCAATATCCCTCAACGTAGGAAAGACATATCTTGATAGCTTCGTCGAGCTAAGAATGATTGTAACAACATAAATCTGATGGCATCAGATGTACTAGGAACTGTGAAACTACGCAAAACACGATTCATGATCAAGGAATTGTAGCTTGGTGATTCATCTCGCGCAGTACGACCACACTACTAGCTCCCATCTATAGGGGTAGTTCTCGCGCTTCTTTTAGTACTTGCATTGTCAGCACAGCCTTAGGAAGAAATGCTGCTAAACAGTTTGCAACACAGTATATACTTGTTTCGAGCGCATTTTACTAACTTCGTGGTAACACTTTACCATATCCAGCATCTAGCAAAGCTTGAAAGATTAGCTGTTACTAAACAAGAATGATTTTCGGTGTTTTTAACTAGGTAACTTCAAAGCCAAATATGGTGCTAGACCTCTTGTAAACATCACCGTATATCTTGCAATAACCGTGACACTATTTTGAAAAAATTTAGGCTACCCTAACTTTGTCGATTACGTTGGCATAAATATTTCATGCTACGCGATGACACACACACATGCAAATAGAATGGCAGACAATGTTGTGTACAAAAGGTCCAGCATTTTTTCTACAATATATGATGGCTGATCACCATACATTGTGCTAATCCAAAGTAGGAGCAGAAATAGCCATAAAACAGCCACTACAGTAGGTACCGGCTAAGTCTTAACATTCTCTGGGCGCGTTTGCATGTATGTCCTCGTCTGTGATTCGTTCTTGCCTTGTTGTATGTTTCTGTGATGCGTACTGGTCATGATTTTTACAAGGAGTAATTAGGGGCCCATATATCATTTACGTGAACAATGTTCTTCACTTATAATCCCATATCAACTTCTGTAATAGAATGATCTTAATGTGGTAGTGTACATGCACATGTAGACACGGGATAAGTAAAAATTTCATAATGTGTTAATGTTTGTTCGAGTCAGCACTATTCGAACTACTTAGCAGAGTGAGAAGTTTTACTACTGTGCGTTATGCCACCTGCACTTGCGAGGAGGTTAGTGCTTTTTATGCCAAGTATAAGGTCAAAATTTAGTTAGTTAACACGCAGACCTTTTTTTTTCTAGGAGTGCATGTTTGAAAGAATGGTGATATTTCAATATTGTTTAAGCCTAAAACCAATAATGCAAGAATGACGGCATAGAGAACTGTTGCATAGGAATTCCGGATAGCGCCACCTTGGTTACAAGCGATCGCCTGCTTTGACGGGCCACTCGAATCAATGCTTTAAATAGTCTACTTTATCTCTCTCTCAACGGTTCACCTCGAGTACAGTTCATCAAGCGCAGTTCCCACAGTACGCACTTCATCGTGTGCGAATGCTTGCTACGGTGACCTACATACCTTCACGATAGAGTTTCGGGTAAAAGCGCCTTTGTGTGTAGGCAGGGGGGTAAGTATTGCAAAAAAAGAATGAACCATTTCTCCTAAGGGAACCATGATGGGATGCGAAGCAGCAGCAGTGCGCACGCTGTTGACCCAGGTGAAACGGGCGTCGACACGGGTGCTGGAAGAACGGTTTGAAACGAAACACGGTGTAACCTTTACTCGATTAACCATTTCTTTGAAATGCAAGAATGTGGGAGGTGGGCTAGGTTTCGTGTAAGTTTCGTCGCAAATAAACGAAAATAAACGAGGGTTTCCCCTCGATGTGTGGTCGAGCGTTTCAGGTGGTGAAGAGGCTGAAGCGAGAGAGAAGTGTCTTGAGAGCGGCTGGAGGAACAACACGACCTAGGTGTGTTGGGAGGAGCCATCAACGGCTGCGGGTGAGAAAGAGAGTGACGTCGACGAGAAGCTGTGACTTGACCTATTTGGCACCGTTCCAACAACTGCGGCAGGGGGAACGTGGTGTGGCACGTTGGCACAGAGACACAGACGGGCAGTGTTACACAGGCTAGTCAAGCAGCTGCTTCACATTTAAAAATTAAGGGGGGGGGATATGTCTGAGACGGCGCGCAAGCTGGTATGCAAGAGCTTGCCGTAAACACAGCCATCGCACCAGTGCCAATTGGCATCATAATGTAGAGAAGTGTTTTTTCAATTATACGGCCAAGTCGCCGACGGCGGCAGAAGCGAAAACAAAGCGAAAAATGGGGAGACACCAGGCGGCTGGGGTGGAACCAAGGGACAAAATTATAAGCTTAAAGGTGGCTATGCGTCACTGTTGTTCTGCACGACGGATACCACGGCATATACTCATGGTTACGCGAAAAATAGAGGAGAAATTCTGAGCCACACAGTCTACAAGAAGACTATAATGGTTGGTGTGCAAAGCACAATGCTTGTAAACAACGAAGCATTTTAAAGTACTGTTTATTGTTAAATTTGAGGGTCTGATTTACTAATGTTTTATGTTTGAAAAAACGCACTTTGACGAAAATGTGTTACACTTTTAAAAAAAGACGTAATTTCATTCCTGTTCTATTTCATTGAAAATGCGCTTCTTTCCATTGCTCCAAGCTTTGTCGCCATTTCATTTTGATTCCATTCCAGGGTAGCGAAAATGTGAATGGTGCTTATTTATTCCGGTTCGGAAGTGACAGCTCCGCAACAGTGATTACCACAAAGGTAAGCAGCATGAAATAACCATGCCTACTTGGCAAAAGTATGGTTCGTTGCTCCTGATAATTGTAGTGTTTCCAGTAATCAAACGCTGAAGAAAGTTTCCTTGCTGTACACCTTTACTAACATTGCATCAATCATTTTTTGTCATTGATTTAAACCTATGGCTCTTTATAAGGCTTGAAGTTTACAAACATTTCAACATTATGGCGATGTACCTAAAACAAGACTCAACCACAAAACCAAGATAACTGGATAACGAGCTCAAACGTCTTTCTAATACTGACATTCTCTGAAACAGGGATATGCTCAAGCCTAATTTCACGTTAACTAATTGTCAAAAGTTGAAACATGCCATCAAAGAATGATAATATTTTGGAAAATGGAAACTCTCATTGCGAGTTTCATTGGCGCTTCGATCACATGCCAGTTTTGTCTGGCTAATACTGACCAAAAGAAAAAAAATTATTTGCGAATATTTTTTAATTGCGGTATCGTTATACGAGAATTCTTAATCAAAATGTCTACTGATCATTTGATATGAATGGAATAGCTCAGGATTCCGTTTCGTGGAGCGACTTATAAATGCGAAGCAGCTCCTTGACTAACATGTGTAACACTGCGTGTTCGTGCCAATGTGCCGCAACCGTGCTCCCCTCATCGCAGGTGTTGGGACAGTGCCAAGTTGGTCACGTTTGTTCTCGAATGCCTCGCAGCACTCCACATGTCTCCCATCCCTCGCTTCACCCTCTACCCCACTCGCAATGTTAGAGCGCACAATTTTTTACTTGCGCAAGCTATGCCTACAGAATCAATACATAATAAACAATATTATGGAGCTTCGTTTCCTCTATAAAGTCGAGGAGGAACGTTTTGTTCGGACTGTAACTCCGCTGCAGCAAGTCATGTGGCCGGGCGTGGAGGCGTCTTCGAGTGAACATTCTTTCGGCTCGTATGCGCTGGAGAGGACGCCGGCAAGCGAAGCTCCTTCGCCCACCTAAACATACGCCGAAGCGATTTGACCGAACCCGGCCGTCGCTGACATTGCGAGGATTAGCAGAGCCGATCGCCTTCGCGAATGGTGATGTCACACCTCCAACACCAACGAGGTGTAAGCCAGGCAAGCCGAATGCTAGCATCGGCAGCAAAAGACCAACGACTCTGACGAGGCACGAGTCAAAAACGCCGATCGCGTCCGTGCTTCGCATGCATTCTGGGTTCCCTTTGGGAAGACGTCGTTAATTTTTAGAACAAAGCTTCCTACGCAGTGGGTCGTACGTCCCGCTTCACCATAGTAGCCAGTTCTCACGGTCATACAATTTCATTGCATGTCAATATAAACGGTGTTACAGCATATCCACGGAGTTAATGGTGATGAGTGAGGAGAAGTGTCCATCAGCCCGTCCGTGCTACTGTGTGTCTATCCGTCCATCCGTACATTCATCTGTGCGGCCATCCATGTGGCCACCCATGCGTCCGTCCATGCATCCGTCCGTCTGGCTACCAATTCATGCGTCCGTGCGTCTGTCTGTCCGTCCATGCATTTGTCCGTCCGTGCGTCTACCCTTCCACTCTCCCTTCATTCCTTGGACCACAAGGCCGTCGTATTGAAGGGAAGCCACAAACCATAGTTTTTCTCCAAAAACAACAAAAGTTGATTTTTATACCACACACAGTATTTCTAACATCTTTAGTTTGATGATCGACTGGGCATATTAACCTCACTGCGAATAGCTTCACCCCACTCGTCATCATTAATCTAGCGTACATACGGGGATACTGTAGGGGCGAGGCTCTTTACACCGTGGGTCGTATGCCCCGTGTCGTCGTCGTAGTAGTAGTAGCCTTTTCTCGTTTAGTTCTTATAATGTCTGCTGGGTTACGGTACCTGTATATGATGAATAT